CTCGACGGGCTTCTCTTTTCTCACCGAGGGTGCTATATTTCCTCTCACCTCTGGCCTCGTTATCTTTCGTAGCTCCCTCATAGTCTTCACTTCTCCTCTTTTTCTGCTCCTCTCTTTGTTTCCTTCTTCTCTCGTTCTCCTTCTCACCTCCCTTTTTCCCCTCAGCCATTTCTCTTTCCTCCTCTGCCTGCTTTTCTTTGTGTATCCTCTTTCTCTCCTCTGCTTCTTCCTTTTTCTTCTGAGCAGACAATTTCTCCTTCTCGACGGCTTGCCTTTCTTTTTCAGCTGCAATCCTCTCTTTCTCCCTAGCCTTCTTCTCTATCGCTGCAGCTTTCTTCTCCTCGAGCTGCCTTTTCTTCTCCTCAGCAGCTGCTAGCTTGTGCATCGCCCGGTTGATTAAAGGAGCAGCTCTTAACACCAGCTCCATCGAGTGGTCCGCCAAGTTATATTCGAGCGTGAGCCTCTCCAGATTTCTCAGTCTCGTACAAGTCACCTGCCTGCCGAACTCCTGCACCATCTTCTCACTCAGCTTCAAAGCGGTCAGCACGGACGAGTGGGGTGCAGACGCACTGTCCATGTGTTTGTGAAGTCGCCCCACGTCGTGTGCAAGCTTTGAGCAGTCCGAGTCTCTCACCATGTTTTTTTTCAGTGCATGCATCTCGTCCTTGATCCTCGACTCGGCCCGGCTGTGAAACTGACCCAGCGAGTCCCTGTATGAGTCCATGGCCTTCACCACCACAGACACCAGGCAGAGCAGGTCTCTGTCGAAACATCTGGGAAACACGAACAGCTTAATTTGCATACTTACACTGATACGGATAATAAAAAGAAAAAAGAAAATTATTCATGATAATCTGACAAGGCAGAGCAGGTCCCTGTCAAAAATCCTGAGAAAGGCGAACTACTTAGCTTACATACTTATTCTGATACAGATAATAAGAAGGAAAAGGATCAATAATATTATTAATGATGGTAATGCCACATTGTTATGTAATGGTAGTAGTCATTTGAACGCAGACTTTTATTATCATGAACATTAGTATTAGTATTAGTACTAGTATTAGTATTACTATTGTTGCCATTGGTATTACTATTATTATTATTATTATTATTATTATTAT